GACTGACTCTTTTTATCTGCGTTTCAGAAATAATTAATTCTTCGTTTAAGTTAGGATTCTCCCGATGCACTATACAAATTCTAACGATAGCCTCGTATTCAGCACAAAAAAATCTGCGGAATATGTACTATGAAACTTCGAAGAGAATTTAGGTATTGTGAACAGTGTAATTATTTTGAAACCATTTTGATGTCATTATGGCTTTTTGTTTTAATTAGCCGATTGTGACTAGGCGTTAAAGTTTCTGTGATGGTTAAAGCTCATTGAAATGCTAACGATGCTGATTATAGATGCCACGAGTTAATGATACGTTTTGATTGGCAGAGGCCGCGAACGAGGAGCTGCATCCGTTGAAGCCGAACGTGATGACGGTGAACTGCACGGTCGCGTTCATGGCACAATGCAATTCCTGGTACAAATGTCGGGCATCCTGCCAGAGCATGGGCGCCACGAGCTACAGGTGGTTCCACGACGGCTGTTGCGAGTGTATAGGCGATACGTGCATCAACTACGGAATCAATGAATCGAGATGCACGCTGTGCTCGCAGGGGGACAAGGAGGAGGAAGATGACCTGAAGGACACACAAACGGCGTACGACGATTACGGTCAGGACGAAGACGGAGATGTGCTGGGCGAAGACGTAGAGGATTAACAATCGCGTTCGTCTACGACGCTTTTCCTCGTCATTCTTTCGTGCAAAATATATGCGACAAGGGGAAAAGTGTTTGCGTGAAAAACATTTCGATAAAATTAACAATCGCGAGATTATTTTGTTCTTATAAAGAAGTCGTTTTATCATCGTGTAAAAGTAAGACTATACTACACTCTCGATATTTGGAGTTTTATCTTTTGAGAAATCGTCTAGCGTTTACGACTTTATAATAATAAGTTAGTGAATCTGCGATTTAGAATTACTTTGCATGGGTGTTTCCCTCATAATCTGATTCTCTGAACACAGCGATTCGCTCGAAAATGACATTGAATAATCCGGAAAATCGATCGCAACTGTGACAAAACTTGTAACTAAGTGTAAGCCTAATTTTAGAGTGTTGTCCCCTAAGGTTTTTAACATTTTATAATTTAATACGCAAAGTCGATACCGACTATCGACTGTAATGTGGGAATATATAGTAATAATCTAAATAATCTACGCGTGTCAAGCGCGAATGCGACCAAGCACAAGTCTTATTGGAGAGGATCCTGTTTGTACATGATTGCGACGTATAATATATAATATTATAAAAAACAATATTATTGTATAATATTGTTTTTTTTTTTATTAAGTACTCGAGCAATACTAGGTTCTTCGTATAACATCGAAAATCTTTATTATCGCATCCGTGCCATAAAATTGTACAACAAATCGATCTCGATTAGAAAATCGAGATCATTTTACACAGACCTCTCTCAAAATTCCTCTGAGAAGAAACTTCGCAAATCACAATACCGCTAATAAATTTCCGGACATTTTGTAAAGCAATGCTTGCAGGAACTTTAAATCATTCCCACTTACCTTATGTTATTATGTTTACATGGCTCGATTTACGTCGAAACTATAACATCCGATTATAACCACTATATTATAACCACTGACGCTATTTTACGATGGCGTTTAACGTCAGTAATTATATCGGATATTATAACTTTGGCGTTATAAAATTGGACGTAGTCTATGACGAAAATTAATGTCATCTTATTTACAAATATTTTATATGTAAAAGCTTAATAGTTGTAAAAGAGATATGTAAGAGGAAAAATGAAACGAGTAAAGATCCCCGAAAATAAATTTAAAATCGTTTGAAATAAAAATCGTAGAGATAGATCAACATCAATGACTCTATTTTATTTGATTTTTATTTATGTAATACGCAGATATACTCAATTCTATTTATGTAGTATGGGATATGTATGAAGTGTTCGAAAATTTACGAGCGGTAGCACTGTGCATCTCTAGGACAATTGATGTACACGCGATAGCGATAGCTAGAACACGTCTCTTCGAATGGAATGTGATATGCTTCAAGATCGATTCAGTAATGAGTGCTTCCTATTTAGTGACAAAAACATCATTCTATCTTTCTTAACGTTAAATGAGTAAAATAAAGATATACTTTTTCTTTTTATGGAAAACCATAAATCTCTTTATGGTTTTCCGACCCACTATGAAGGATTATAGCACCATGCAATGAAATAGATCCGAAAATCTGATGACAGCCTGCTCGAGGAGTAGAGG